TCTCCATGTTTTCTGTAAAGGATCTGGACTTGCAGCCCCAAGGGCCTTATACTTTAACTTTGAAGTAATAACAATAAGAACTTATGACACCTCGTTCATGACTATCTGTGATAATTACACAATAAATCAAAACAACAGCTTTTTCAAGCCACGGCCATGCAATTGAGCGCGCGCACACACACACACAGAAAGACACATACGAATCGTATGTATGAATAGATGTATACAATTGTATACAATATATTACGATTATTTACGATTCATCTCACCTCGCAAACGTAGTGAAGCACTTCGGAGCTCTGTTTGCAACTCCCTCCCAAATCTGCCAAAATATTATGCAAGAGACGAGAAGTGGCTTTTCAACATACAGCTTTATTCCCTGTTCTCAACACCGTCACAATGTGAATCGGGGGTCCATTCCTGATGCAAAAATCCATCACCGAATATCCTTTTTTTTCTGCTCGGATCCGCTGTTTGTATTGTCCATTGATTGATGCGGACCAGCACTATGTTCGATATCATTCGCCTACTCTGTGCATCCGCATTCACAGAATCTCACAGGAAAAAGGCCTTGGCCAAGCAACAGTCATTAGTATCTAGTAGTGGGATGTCGTAGGGTTACACAAGCAGACCAGCAGGCCCCAAATCAGGAACCTTGAACCAAACCATGAAACAAAACATGACTAAGCTATTCTAAGCTATACGCTACTGAGTAGCTTGCTGACTGGATCTGTGTAACCCCAGGAATCTCAAGGCACCTCAGAGTTTGCACATCCAAAGGACGAAACACTACCGATGGGATCCGATAGGTCTGGCCATGTGAGGCCGCACAGGGTGCTCGCAGCAATCTCGGCAATCTTTGTGCTTTTGCACAGGTCACTGTCTTTGCAAATGTGAACTGCGCTGCGTACAGCTTCCGTGTGAACACAGTAGGGTCCAGGATAGATCAAAATAGTAGCCAAGGTAAGTCCAGGAGCAACAATGAATGTATAGAGAACAATTTCAAACACATAACACATCAAACACTTTCACTATCATAACTGTGAGCCTCGTGCATTTGTCATATCCATCATCCATTTGGACCCAGAAGGACTCAGAAGGACGCACAAGAATCCATAGTATGCCATAGAGTTCAATCGTTTTTCGTGGTTCTATTACAAATTCAGGGCAGCACCTTAAAATTGCTGCAAAATCATCAACCAATAGCACCAGTCGTCCATGAAGGTTGCCCCTCCCCGAACATAAGCACCTTCGAAAATAGACTTTAAGGATCTTGTAGCATCTCTTGAACGACAAAAAATGGCAGGACAACACAAACAATTGCGGGGCCGGAAGGGACGACAAAGTAGGACGGGCATGAAGCAAAACCTGGCCACCTGGGATTTCTCCAGGTGGTTAGATCCACCGTGAGTGTCCACTGACAAATGACACGGCTCCCACTTCAGGTACACCGGCAAGATTTTCCATAATTTTCCACACCTTCTGCACAGCATTGATACAGCCCATTGAGAACTCTAGAAGCTGTGGCTGATGGCCAGGAAGCAGTTCGAAAGGCTACGTGATGTGCAGAATGTGAACCTCGATGATAGCAAGTGCATGTGCAAGCCGATAGATTCCATAGATGCAAGGGTCCGGATGTTGCTGCGAAGGTGAGGGACGGGACATATCTAAGGTATGGACGGCATGGAGATAAAAGATCCTATCTAGCTGCCAACTCTTCATATGTTCCTGTCATTTTCTGTGGCTGCTGAGAGTTTTAACGTATTTGAAGTGCGGTCCTGGCTACAGCACAGTTCTTGTCTGGAACACCGGAACACCCTGTCTGAACAAAATGCACAGGCAAAAACGACCGCAAGTTCAGATTCGCTTGCGGCCCCCTTGCTCTGCGCTGAACTGACCAAAATGCCATCAAACATGCAAATCTCCATGTGCAAATTGCTCAGGGATCAAAAATGGCGCAAACCATCTGGAACACAACACAACGCAAATCACCTTGCTCATACTTTTTCACTTCGCCTTGAATCCACAAAGTTTCCAAAGCACAAGTTGAGCCCCCTGGAGCAAACAGCTTGTATCTTGTGGCATGCTTACAATTTCTTGCCCCCACACTAATAAACTAATAGACCTTCAAACAGTTTCAATGCCTTCGTTATTTTTTTTGGAATGATTTGTACTTGTTTTAGCTTCACATGGCCCCTCCTTGAGGCTTGATTCTTTAAGAGATTTCAAATCTGATCTTTTTCAAAACATATAATTGCATAGAATCGCGCAGAAGCGTATAGAATGCCACATGACTCAGCAAACGCAAGGAACCTCCGCAGTGGGGCATCTTGCTGCAGCACATAGGAAGCTTGGCATCAAAAATGCAAATATATTGAAAGATTTCGAAAGATTTCGAAAGTGATGGAAGGAAGATGGATACCAGTGACGTCCAGGGACAGCCAGAGATCCATCTCCGACGTTGAATAGGCTTTGCTCGAACTTTAGCTGCTCGAATTTCACCCAGCTTGCTGATTGCCAAGAATTTGCAAAGCGAACTGGAACAAAAGAACGCAAATGTTCTGATAGCTCTGGGTTTTTCTTCGCTCATGTTGAGAAAACCTTGCAACGCGAAATCGTTTGGCTCCCTCTCAAAACTCCCCAACGCTTCAAAGGGAAGGGAGCTAGTCTGTATTTCAAGATTGAAGACAACTGATACTAATGGTGAAACGGATTAAACATGATTAAACTTATATATGTCATGAATATGATCTATGAGTATTTGCGGATAGATATGATGAGATTCTAGATCCTGCATGTCTTGATGTCTTCAAGATTGAAATAGCATCTTCAGCCACTATACGCACGCCATAGCGCGCACAATGGCCAAAGCCATGCACAAGTAGCATGCAAGTCCAGACATCGTTCCATGGGATGTGCTGGGAAGATCTGGGAAGCAGGCAACGTTCCAACATGTTCCAACTCTGATGCTATTCCAAACGCATCAGTCAGAATCGCAAAGCATCTGCTCCTTCAATGGCGGCCTCTCCACGACAAAGTCGGATCTGAAGGAACAAACTGTGTGAAACTCCCAACCTGTCCTACTGTATCCTGCTAGCTGCTAGCTAACCTGGCATGACCTGATGCTTTTTGATACGATTTGTATATGTGTTATTCTTATGTTTGTCTTTGCAATGTTCGCACATCTTTCCTGACGGATCTTAAGTTTAGAACTTATCCGTCTGTGAGAAACTGCATGCTCCGTGTGGAAGTGGACTCCAAAGTTACTGTTGGAATCCAGCTTCTTTTGATATAGAGTCATCAAGTATTGCTCTTGCATTACTCCAAATTTTTTGAACACTGATTAACAATGATCGGTCACTTCTACAAAAGGCAATGACTACAGCAATTCTCCCAACAATCTTGGGCAGCTCCAATGAGGCAACTGCTCTCGCCTGGCAGCCACTTCCAACAAGCAAACGCAGTACATGAAGCCGGAGCCAATGAAGACCTCATGACTCACCGGATCTCACCGGAAAGGCTAGATGGACACTGAAGGGTACATTGAAATCATTTGAAATCACTGAATGCAAATGAATGCAATTGTTCCTGAAGCCGTGCTCCAAATGTTGTTGCAATACCAGGCAGCCGCACGAACAGGTGCCACATAGCGTGGTGGAATTCAATGCTCTTACCTATTTTGGCCAGAGGTGACGTTGCATAGATCGTCATGAGTCAGTGGCAGAATGGATCGCCCAACACGAAGAAACAACGACACAGCGGTAGGGAGTGTGCCATATCTCACATGTTCTCCGAACACCATCATCTGCAACATCCGACAACATCCGACAATCTTTTCTGCACTTTCCAGGGACGGTGCCATGTTTGTTACATTTTACGACACTCCATCTGACTACTGAACGGACCTGGCACAGCGATTCAGGCGGAATTCTGTGCGCTCCAACATTAACATGCATGAAAGTATTGGACTGACACGGGCTGAGATGGGCTGAGGTTTCAATGTCTGGGGGGGCTGATATTGTTAAGGGGCACGGAATTGTAGCGAAGGAACTGCGCAAGTTGGATCTCTTGTCCAAAGTAATATGACAGCAGCCTCTTGTTCTTGTGTTTCCAAAGCTTCAGAGTTTCACTGCGACCAAGATAGTCCAAGATGCACAAGTGGAATGGAACGCCGACCGTGAAGCCTGGGGCACAGAGTAAAGAATGCAACAATGAAGGCCAAGTTAAGTTCTGATTGTCTACATTCAGAGAAAGTGCGTGAGCCTACTTTCCAACTCTGAAATGGCGGAATTGCAAGCAAGTCACTCAGTCCACCAGCCACCCTGCGCGGGCCGTAGGCTACTGTAGATTAAATCTAGAGTCTATAGACAGAGCAAAAAAGAAGGGCTCTCTGACAAAGCGACAGCCCAGTATGTCATGAAATGAAGACTGGCATGGTACAATTTTGCTTGGCATGCTGTGACCCTGCAAAAGGAGACAAAAGGTCAGTGGATATAGACATAGAAGCACCATTTAGGAACAGGAGAAAGACGCAAGATGAAGAAAGGCAGTCAAAACCAAGTCCGTACACCTGCAAGGAAGCAAAATGAAGGGAAAAGGACGATCCAAATCTTAGTGAAAGGAGAATGTGGGGACGCGTCACAACACATTATGCCTGTTCTGTGCCTGATTCGTGCTTGTCAGGCGAGACAGAACAGGGACTCCAACTCAAGTTTGGTCGAAACATGTCGAAACAAGATGCAGGCAAGATTCATCAGCATTTTGGCCCTTCTGTTGAAGTTTGCGCGAATTTGATTCCAGATCACAGCAACAGACCAACCCATCCTGAGCTGCTTACAGTGCTGCGTTCAACATTGACAAATTTCAAAGTTTGAATGTGATATATGTGATACCATATGAATTCATATGACATGTTGTCAAGCTTCAAGCACGGTATGGTTGGGAATCTTTCGATGGATGCAATAAGTTCCAGCAATTCTTCCAGCAGAAAACCTGTCGCCTCACTGCCTATTTCTTTTTTTTTTGCAAAATGCCGATAAGTTCTTTCCCTTTGCAAATGCCTTCAAAATCTTTTTGCTGGCTTTGCAAGCACCGAGGCTCATCAAGTAGCGGGCAGGATGAAAAAGCAAGTCTGCACCACCTGCTGCTCCGTACCCAAAATGGACACCTAACTTCAAAAGTCCCGTAACATGCAACTAAAGACTAAAGACTCAACATGCTGGTATCCAGCGAAGTGATCTTATCCGTCTTATCTCATCTTTTGCAACCTGAAACTGACAATGACAATGCCATACAATGACAAACCATGGCATGGACTTTGTTTAGGAGGCAAAGATCTACGACTATCTATGCTCCTACGTCAGGTACAGAAAATCTGATTTGCTCAATTTCCGCACAACGTTCGGATGCTGCCTGCATGCAGCGTACTTTCGATGTCTTCAAGATCTTGCATAGTTTGACGCCAAATTGAATACCTCAGCCAGTGCCCATGGAAAGCCACCATAACAGGACTTGGCAGAACTGGACCAACATTGTGCACTGGTCCGGTTTTCCTGTGAATTTCAACAAATCAGCTTGGTAGAGTTTGATTCCTCAGACCTTTGCCTTTCCCAACAAGTCACAGAGATATTTCCCCGCAGAAGCCAATCACAGCACCTCAAGCATGCGGATTGCTTGTATATTGTGTATTGTTGTGTCTACTAATTACTGTAGATCTAATTAGTGGATTTAGACATCTGATTGAAGACTCGAAATGAATATCTACGTACCCTGGATGTCCTGCTTCAAGTGGTTATGATGCGATGTGCATTGAATTACAAAGTGGAGAAGTTTTGAAAGCAAAACATGCCACTGACATCCATGTATATCCATGTACAAATTGAAGCTTTGCCCCCATAATTCCGGGGTCACATTTTCTCATGATTTTTGCATACCTTTTCATATATTTTCATATTCAGGAAATTGGTCGCACTTGCCTTTAGGAAGTACCAGGCAAAGGTTTTCAATGGCCCAATTCAAATAGCATGAGAAGCCTACTGTATAGGCGAAATCGTAACAAATAGGACACAAATAGGAAACCTAGTCAAACCTGTCTTGCTGAATGTCGTACTTTCAGAAGGTGAAACACGACTTTCATCTCAGTCGACAAATCAGCATCTGCGAAATTGATCGCTGATTCTCATTCACACCGTTTTCCACAATGAAATCTTGCCACTCAATTGCAAAGCACCCCTCCTCTCGGCGGCCCTCTGCTGCTCAGGAACAAGTCCAAACGAAGGCTAGCATTCGATAGCATCGGCAATGAATCATGACTGGCGTATAGCAACCCGCAATCATCGAGTTGATACCAATATGGTCAAGCCTTGTGCGAAAGAAGCAAGAGCTGTGAAGACTCTCAAGAGAGTGTGGAGACAGAACTCCATGAATGTGTGGAAACACCAAAGCTTCACAGATCCACGGAATCTGAGTTGTCAAACACAGTTCCAGGAAATGGCCATCATTGTCACTTTGACCTATTGCTGTAAACATGCAAATCACAGAGAGTTCGTTGATTAGTTGTCCTTTCAAGAAGACTCCCTTACTTCCCTGAAAAAGCACTGTTGGAGACACCCCTGGCTTTTGCCGCGGACAAACACAACGTTTTATTACCAAGTGATGCTAAGTGAATCGAGCAAGTCAATTGAAGGAACATGAAGGAACCGCTGAGTGAGTTTCGGCCAGTGAGTTGGTGAGTGAATTGACTCAGTGATGCGGCAAGCAAGCATGCGATCAACGCATGACTCATGACTCATGACACACTTCAAACGGAGACTTGGCAAAGACCCACAGTCTCCCCAATCTAAAAAACTAGATTCGATCGCCCCAGAACCTAAACTTTTTAAACCAACGAAGACAGAAACCAGGCTTCGAAGCATGACAACAGCTCAAACTCACCGAGTAACATAAGAAGGAATCGTTGATTCCGCTCGTCCCAGGCCTGACAAATGCAAGGTCTACCAACTCAGTTTGTTCAAACAATACTTGCAAAGTTTCGACATCTTCATCCTGGAAGTTGTTGCCATGTTTCGCATGTTTCTCAAGCGCAATGAAAGTTCGAATTTGAATATATATAAAATGATTGTCAATATTCAATTACACATCTTACAATCTGAAGGCCTACCCTGAAAAGCCTGACATCCATCATAATACTCTCACCATGAAACATATCGCAATCGAGTTCTGGACTCAACTGCCCAAATAGTTCTGCACAGCCAGATTCTGTTAAAACAATTTTAAACAATTTAAAGCTCTTCACTGATCCTGTTGAGTCTAAAATGGTCCTGGAAATCCCTGTTGTGTCATCCGACAAGTCGGAAACGCTGCCAGGCAAGAGGCCCAGTAGTGGAAGAAGGCAGAGCAGGTAAACATCAGAATCATGCCTGAACTGCGCAGTTCAGCACATTTCAGTGTGCTACATGCACGGCAAATGCACGGGAAATGCACGGCATTGCACGGCACTTT